TTCAGATTGTTGCTGCAGAATTACCTTTGTCTTTTAATAATATTATATACCTACGAAGCGAAATATATTAGTAAGTATAATGTGTTAAATGTGTAATAAAAATGACGGCTTCATAACATATTAGTTTCAAATTAATCGCCGTTTTCAAAGAGAGTTTAATATATACCTATTTATGCTGTATATATAATATCTAATATATACAGAGGTGAGTGTACGGTGTACCTAAACCACTGCGGCGCTACATACCTATTATACAAATCAACTTATCATCGGTAAATGAGTTAGTATACTTAGCATACGATGGCTATGAAAAATTATGATTTTTTTAACCGATCCGTGGGCGGCGGTGGTTCGCTTAACTGTATACGCTTTATAATAATAAATGCTAGCGCATGTACAGTGAGTACAAGTATAATAATCACAACAACGTCAGCGCAGTAATTAGTAATTTGAACCTTAACGCTCGTATACCTATATGTATAATATGTTATGTATATAATGTACCTATATATCTAATACATGTGCAACACACAGTGGCTTGTTATCGGTTACTTTATAGATTTTGTTTTTTTCTCTAATCGAAGTCATATTGTAGCCCAAGGGTAACTGTGGGCAAGTATAATAATAATAATAACAATATTTATAATAATATATTATAATATTATAGGCGTATACTATACGGACATATTATATAGGTAGGTACAGGTTCTCTTCTTATTATATAGACCATTAGAAACGGTAATTGCGCCTGAAGTTCGCGGTGACGGGATAAATTAATACTCGACGCAGCAGAAATTTCGGATGAATAATATTATCAACGAGTGCTTGAAGTGGACGTTTATAATATATATGTATATTTATACTATAGCTTGGTGCATTGCGCTAAGCGTTTCAGTGTTTGGTTAAAACGCTTCTCCAGATTATATGAAGTCTTGTCCTCGCAGATTTCGACGAATGACTAATATCACTCATTGTAAGCAATAGGTACGTATACAACTATGAACTATAAAATGTTATAGGTATACGCTGTATAGTAGTAGGCACTCTAAGTACGGTATAAGTAGACAATATTGTCCGACTTGGCAATTTTTAGTGAAATAGGAGGTGTCCTAGTCCAATCTCAGATTTATTTCAAATTGATTTTTAAATATGAATAATTATATTTTTTTTATAATATATCTAAAATATTGTTGTGAAATAAAATAAAGCAGAATAAATATCCAAATATTTCCATAAATATAATTATTTATGTACCTATATTTTATCACGGATTGTCTTTTTAATATGATAACAAAATAATACAAATTTTTAAAACAAACTATAAATAAATAATATATAACTATATCACAAAAAATTACTTAAAGATTTTGAAAATAAAAAGTTAGGTTGAACACTCTCCCTTAAAAATACAAATTTTTTTAAAAAGTCTTTGATTTGTGATTCTTTTATTATCCCAATAAATGCAAATTACAAGTTAAAATACCTGTTTTAAACATTATAGGTATAGGCAGGTAGATAGTATTTTTTATTATTATAATTTTACTTGAGGGGAAGGGGTTCATTAGTGTACACACCACAATCGTGCGAGCGTTCCCTCAAATATAATAATATATAGCATGCGGGCTTAACCGATTTCCAAGAACGGGTTGAAGAACAACAAATTACATTATAACAATGTTCTTGGTATATTGTAATATATAGGTGTATATGCGTGTGTAGTTAAAACACTATGGCGTATTAAACCAACGGACAACAACTTTACGAGCAGTGAGCAATGCATCATTATATTGTTAACTTTACAACGCGTTATTATACAACATTTATATACTGTTATTATTATTGGACATTAATTATACGAGATTATTACAATATTATTGTCGCTGCTGTAATTTATTTTTGAGTACCTATCTAAGATATACACTATTTGTGTGTGTGTGTGTGTGTGTGTGTGTGTGTGTGTGTGTGTGTGTGTGCGTCTAACATACATTATTATACATATTGAAGTACAGACGATAACCAGCCACAGACAGGGTGTGTCGTTACTATATATACACGGTAGTGCGGTATACCTACAATACGTATACATACATGTCACATTGTACACACACGAAAAGGAAATACGATTTGTTTACCACACTACACACAATTGTTTATAAACAACCATGTTTTTTGTAGTTGTTTGGTTTGCACCTATACATAGGTAACTATATATATAAAAATATACAGGTGGATATACTATATAGGCGAGAAAAATAATCCTACTCACATGCGAGAAAACAAATATCCTCTTTAAATCTGCGTCGTCGAATTCGACAATAATATATACATATATATATATAGATGATACGAATTTGTTGAAAAAACAATCGATTTAATGGGCGATAAAGTGGGCGATTTAATGGAAAAGCAGTAGGTACCTATATAGGTATCGTTTAACCATATGTATTCATATCGTATTTATGTACAAGTACAAATAAATATAATGCATTGTACAAAATCGCGTTCTTGATTAAATCACTGAACATGCCTATATATATACTACACATTATAATATAGTGTACATTATTATTATACTAAAATGTTACGGCTCTCGTGTAGTACATAAATGCGAAGTATTGGTCTCTGTAATGATGCTAATATTTGAGTTAAGACATAGGTATATACGCATTCCCTAATAGGTAATAATAGCTTGTGCCAGTGCCAATGTGGTTTAGGCACTTACACATGCATTTTTTGAACTCCTACATATTATAAATTATGAAGTAATAGTGTGCAGGATACAATAAAATGCACTCAATAGTATTCTGTGCCGAAAAACGTGAAACGGAGCCGACATTGTGCACAATGCACATATCACTATAGACATTGGGTATATTTTAGGACTTTAGGTACATCCGGTATTCCTATAATCCTATACGTGATGTAGGAATGCTGCAAATTTTTTATGTCTATATACATTTGTTATTTTTCTGGAGTAATCCAAATCGACATTATTTTTAACCGTTATAGCACGTATATTACTATACAATTATTTATCATTGAGTTTTAAATCGCACTGCACGTCAAACGAAAAACGTATAACGGGACCCTCACATAATGTATTGCGCAAAAGCGAAGCCAAAAAAATATACAATAAGTGATTTACGAAAGGTACATCAGGAAGATCCCAAAATCGGACGTACATTCTATATATATATACTTGGGGTATAGAGGACACACACTGTGATATGAATGTGCAAGACAGAAGTTTTATGGTTACCAGATTATTTATTTTCTCTTTTTCCATTCAAACGGGATCCGAAGAGCATTTAATGTAATAATAATAGCCGTGGTGTTCGTTGCATCATAATATTCAATGATAATATGTACCCAGGAACACCTTTTTTTTTCAATATTACACCACACTCCAAGAATCGTTTATTTACCTTCTACATGCGTGTTATTATATTGTTGCGAGTAGGTACCTTACAAACTATAACATATTAACGCACACGTATAACTTATTGTAGGACAAATTTTTATTGGGTCACTGTTATTCTTTATACCCTGCCGGCTGCCGAAGCTTATACACACCCTATTAATAATATCATTATATACTATCATTGTACGGCCAACACCACCCGTCGCCTTAAATTTAGTGCAGTATAATTTTTAAAAATAATCTTTGGTAGTACCGATATAAATAATATAATAGAATTTGTATTGCATCATATATATAACCGTACAGTCGGTGCAGAATTTCGACCCGTCGAATTGTACACACTGGGGGTTCTGCACCACTATTCGCCTTAAGTATAAAATATATTACAAATTATATATAAACGGATGAGGGTTTTGTATCTTGTCAAAGTGAAATTTACCAGAAATTCAATGGGAAAAAAACTAATCCTAATAGAATTATTATTACATTTATCAATAGAAATGGCACATGTTGCGTGTAAAGGTACTTTTATACCTGCCTACCCATTATATATATTGCATAACTTTTTGTAATTTTTTTCCCCATCATGACATTAATGTACTGGCTTTTTAAGAAAGAAAAAATGAGTAAAAGTAACAGTACCTGTACCTTTTTTTTTTAATTCTCAAGAATATTATTACAATACGTAGGTGTAGATAGAAATAAATGTTCAGTTTAGGTCGTAGCCCGTAGGCATATACCTAATATTATGTAGCAATTCTGCAGTAGAGGTAAGTTATAATATAACAAAATAACAATGCAAATATATATTGTCGTGGTTGAACGTAAAATGTGTAAATTTATTTTGTGTATTTTAAGGAAACATAATGATTCGATTTAATACATTATAGGTACAGCACTGTATCAGAGGCGGCGATGGACGTTACGGAGCACTGATATCCGTGAATTACTTGTACAGAAACATATTTTTAAGGCGGAAAAAATTATGACGTCCTACTAGAAACATGGATACTTCGCACGTGTCATTATAGAAGTCATAGTATAGACATTAGCCAGTATAACAATAAAATCGTTCCTATAGGTGTATAATATTAATATATTACGTACCTATATTTATAAAACGTGTGTTTCATTTAAAATACAATTATACAACTATGTACTTTAAGATATAGATACCATGTATACAGTTTCAATTCTGCCGTAATGATATTTGAAAGTGTGATATACTTATACGTATTTGCTGCTATGTAAAATTGGATTTCATAAATTAACTTTAGATTATTCGATAAATTAGTGAAGATAAAGCAAATAATGTATGGATTTTTACTATATTTATTTTACCTAGGGTATATATTAATTTGAGGTATATTTTAATAATAATAAATTATAGGCATTATACCCATATACATATTATTATACCAATATACACTACAATTTGATATTTAAGTATAAAACACCTATGTATACTCTGCAGTGTTTATATATTAATATAGAATATACCTATATAATATATACTTTATAAGTCGTCGTAGGTGCAGGGTACCCAAGTATATAAACAAAAAATATAAATAGTACTCACCGCCGGGGAATCTGTGAGGAAATATTCTTCCGTGCCGGGACAACAGCCACGGGTACAGAGGGTACGTGTCACGGGTGGGTTGGTGTTGAGGGTGATGCGGATTTGGCTGGAAGTGGTGAGCTGCAGCGGCTGCGGCGGCGGCTGCGGCAAACGCGAACGGATGATGAGGATGTGGGTGAGCGGGTGGCGGCGTCAGTGGTTCGTGCACGTACTGCAACCCTTTGGCCAAGTGTCCAGCGGCTGCGGCAGCGGCTGCAGCGGCCACGGACGATGACCCGTAACCGGCGGAGGCTGGTAATGCGGACGGCTTGAACACCGTGGTGTTGCTTGCTGCAGAAGTCTGCTGCTGTTCGTGTTGCTGCTGATGTTGGTGCACGTGATGGGACTGCTGGTGCTGGTGTTGCTGATGGTGTTGTTGGTGGTGGTGATGGTGATGATGGGGCGGCGGCGATACACTTCCCGGGTTCAGCGGCGATCCGGCGGCCGAGCTGCACGCCTCGCTCTCATCGTGCGCCACCGAAGAACCTTCGCTCCTAGCCGGCGATCGGGAACCCGCGCCCACGATGGACTCTATTGAGAATCCGATTTTCGGTTTAACGATCATCGGCGTCGCGGCCACTTGTATCATTTTAGCGGACGTATGGAAATAATCGATCGTAACGATGTATAATACGATGATACGACGATATACGACCTATGAACGAACTATGTATGGGTACTTAACACAAAATTTTCATTTAAAAAGAAAAATTTTACGACGCAGAAATATGGGAATACGATCATTCGCGCGCCAACGACGTACCAAATACCACGGTTGTCCGCTGCATTCGAGCGGGACGTTTCGTTTTTACGCGCACTGCACTTCGAACACGTTCGCATGCACACAGCAATACTGCGTGAAAATAATAATAATAACAGTACAGACAGTTGTACGACAGTAACAGCGACAAAAGCGACGACGGGACGCGTATGCAACGTGCGGACGACGACGGCAGACTGCTGCCGGTGGAGGTCCGGGCCCGTACGCGGTCGGCGCGGCGGCGGCTGCTCTGGTGGGTGGGGTGAACGGGACGGGCGAGCGGGACCGGTGGAGAGGGAAGAGCGGCGCGCGCGGTGGGCGTGACCGACGGCGACCGTGGTTGGGCGGCGAGAACGGCCCGGGAAACAAGGCGGCCCATTGGCCAGCGGTTCGCGGCCCGCCGGCGCGCGCCGTGTTTACTTTTGGACCGTCGCCGTCGTTAACGCCATAACAAACATGTGTATTTAAGGTGTTAACTGTACCTATACCATACACTGCTGACTGCTCTATAGAATAATATGTAAAACTGGTTTCGATTATTGCGTTAACGTACCCGTATACACATTTACACATTTACCTATAAATAATATATATACCTACATTACATTTATATATGTATAATATGCGCGCCACCGTACCCGCACCGTCGCCACTTCACGCCTGTACCGCCACCATGCCACGCTCGCCCTCTCGATGTCATATCATAATATGCGCCTTCCCCTCACGGGCGCACCGTAAATGCAAATATTGGCGCGCGTGCGCACATCATATACAAAGTCTTCGGGTTGTGATCTTAAAAAAAAATATAGGTAGATATAGCCGTATATAGGTACCTAAAGTTAGGTATTTATGTCTACTACCTATATCGGTACCTATATATACATATATATATATAATTGTACACTGCATGTCTGCACGTATTTTATTATACGTATAATAATACGACTTCAATATAATATGTATTACATATAGGTATAATTGGTATCACATAATATGATGGACTCGGCTGCTGCGGCATAAACCCACTCGTATTATACTTAATGGATTGAATCAAATAATATCTAAAACTTATATACATATTATATATTATTACTAAACTATATGTTAAAGCCAAAGTATATTCCCCACTATATATATATATACATAATCGCACCATCATTTCTCGCTTACCTACACATAAGTTTCTACAATATCACACACTGTTATCTATGGACAAAACATAATATGATATTATATATATAAATATATTATGTTATTTATATTGTAAGCGGTGTCAGTCGGCAGTCGTACGGACTCTCCAGCCGTAAATGTATTGCACTGTCATTACTCATTATATAGTTACCGCCATCACGTTGTGTTAAATACATTTATGCGGCAATAAGACAATTGTATTCTTATATAGGTACTGAAGGATGAAATAAGTCGGGTGACTGCGAGTTATCAGCCAAATTAAATGTTCTTTTATATATTGACGCTCATTCTACAAATTATAAGGGCTATCTGAACATCTTATTAGAAACTAAAATATTATAAATTCTCACGACAAGGATGTTCCGCGCCCTTTTTTGCAAGCCCAACGTTTATTAGCTTTAATAAGCTATAAATAAAAAAAAATGTTTTAAAAATTAATGCTATATATATGTATCATGTTATATATGTATGGTCATAGCTGAGTACATAATATTGGAACTTAGATGTATATTTTTAAGTTTTAATTATTATATTAGGAACCTATATACGTATATACCTATATAATATATAATATAAATGTTGGTATGTATACTATGTATAGACTATATAGATATCTTATAAGTTTCCGCGGCGTCGTCGGTTAAAAACTGGGAAAAAAAAGATCTTAAGTATTGATCTATACTAAATATATGTTCAATCGTAATTTATATTGACCAATATAACAAAAGGCAAAAGCCTGATGTAATATTCTCAAAAAGTATTATTAATTGGAAGCAAACTTCATTATATGAAATACCATACAGCTAGCATCGACGAAATAATGCGTTTGAGCGTGAGTGTACCTAAATATAATAATTAATTTAGAATCGGATGTTTTAACATGCGTTCATACATATAATCAATAGTCATATATGCAGGGTTAATTATTATTGTTTATCTACTATAGATAATATATAGCTTTAAACTAACCTGTATATACAATATACCTAATTTTAATAAAGACCATAATATTATATCATATATGCATATTTTAAAGTTCTATAATTGAGATTTTCATAAGTACTGTGCAAATATATAGTTCCTATATATATAGGAACTATATATTTATACTTTAGTATTATTACTTTATAGTATATTGTACTAAAGAAGAAGGGGTCGAAGTAATATACGAAAGTAGTTCCGTCCCCGGTTTTTGGTTCATATTCCCTAAAAAAAAGTATTAAAGAATAGTATCTTATTACTCTTGTATTCTTGTGACAACACAAACTTTTGTTTTTCTAATGAGAATTTCCAATATACCTATGTTACTGTACATGTTTTAGTGGATAATTTTTTTGAAAATGAAGAATCAAAATTAAAATTTGAAGTTGTTAAAATACTTATATTAAGCAGATACCTATAATAATATACCCAGTCCTTAAAAATAATTTTACAAAAATATCAAATATAAGTAAAGGTACCTTTATTATATAACATATCGGATGTATAGTATTTATTAGGTCGACCTTGGACCACTTTTATAAATTATAAATATTGATAAATTAATATAAATTACTACAAATTTCCAATTACCATATCGCCCTCATATTTTCTAAATCCATCATTATCATGGACCTATTAATTATTATTATCCTTAGTACTTTAAATAACTCAAAAACTACTCATACAAATTTTGATTAATTTCCACTAAATAATTCACATTAGAATTAGAAAGGGGTGTAATTTGAAAAACGGAAGTTTGTATCTCCTCATATAGGCATGGTTTTTAAGTAGATAACACAATAAAATCTCAAGAATTTTAAAATAAAGTATAAATAACCTAACCTAACCTTGAAAATTTCAAAAATCAGATTTTGAATAACTGCAGCATCGTCTATAAGAAGAAGAAAGATATGAGTATGCCTGGTGAATCACCCTGTATAGTCTATAACCATGAGGCAATGATCTTTCTCTCTCGGCGAATATATATACACGTATTGTATTTCTGCATCACTATTATAGTATCTGATTATTGTTACTAATTTTGAATATCAGTGTTTTATTAGATTAGTTTGTAATGATTTAAAACTATTGCCGCATAATTAATTTTATATAATCATTATAATTATATAATGATTTTATATTATTGTATAATAAATCTCAAGAATGGGTAATAATATCAATTAAAAACTAATATGTTTTTGGTGTGGGTATTTTGGTATGGTTGTAAAATTGTTTATTATATTTGTGATTGTACTTATATTAGATATAATAATATTATATGTCAATTTGAATGTTCTTTGAATCAGCTATAATGAGTGATTTGTTATTTAGAATGCAGAGTTTTGTCATAAAGCTGTCTCTGAAATAAATATATTAAATAATGTTAATGATTTATGTTCCTCTACTGCAGGGTGATTTTTAACAGTATATAAGTACAATCTTACTTTCCCAAAAGATAAAAAACATAAACGTAATAAAAATTAATTTTTTTACGTATTTTGAAGTCATTATAGGTAGGTATAGGTGCATCTTGTATTTTGTGTTATTATGTTTTTACGTAGGTATTTAAATGATAATATAGCTGATACCTAAATGTATACATTTTTTAATTTCTTTCTACTAGGTAGACTATTTTTATGAAAATGTTGATGAATAAAAATATATTTTGAATCAGTAAATTATTTGAAAAAATAAATATTTTGACGAGTGGAATGACATTTTACATTGGTATGAAACATTAAATATATTTATAAGTATTGTATAACTAAAATTAATAAGTACTTTTTACTATACAAGGTGATCCATTCAAGTCTGCCTTTACCTACCTATGACTTATCTACCCTAACAATAATATGTGTCCAAAATGCATGTTGCACTCATTTAAAAACTTAAAAATTAGTTATTTAAAATGTAATAACCATTAAAGAATATGTAAAAAAAAATATGTTAAAATATAATTACTTGTTGATATTATTTTTTGATCAAAATGATAATTGTTCAAAGAATTCCTAGCATATCTGTATAATATATGAGACAAAAAGTCATGAACTCGTTTACTGTTATTATTTAGTATATACCAGCTACTTATAACTTATTTGTTAATAAGGTTAACCTATATATGAATATTATAAATACTTTATTTCGCTATTACCAATATAATCATATTTATATTAATATTATTATTGGTATTTAAAATCAATCATATAATAGATACAACATTCGTTTATGTTTTGAGTATGTGTGTAATAATTTTAATATAATATAATTTTTAATAGTATGAAAATATTGTACCTATATATACAAATAATGACACCGAAAATTCAACCGGAAACTGTTACGTTTGTGTTATTTTATTACAACTATTATAAACATACATAATATAAAGGTAAGTAAAATGTATATGCAGTATACACAATTTAAATAAATTAACATATATATAGTTTGTAGTAAGCGATATTATCTTAATTCTCTCGACGCCTACTCCTTTTCTCAGCGTGTAAATGCACACAGAGAAGATATTGGTAATTTCTAAATATATTATTACAAAATTTAATTCATAACGACTTTGGGTACAACTCATTTTTGACGGTATTTTGTTCCGTCTATAGAAAGGATTGAACTTATAAATATATAACGCGATTTTACATAGTCTTATTAGTACCTTATATGCTGCATTCTTTGCGAGAAAGAGAGAATATAATGAACAAGTATGTACATACAATTTTATCACTGTACCATAATATTATACTCTCTCTGGCACTCATCAATATAGACGACAGAACATACTTTTAAATTTTAATTAGGTATTTTATGTATGATTAATAACTATTATTATAATTATTATCTATTACTAACACATAAACCTCGGCATCTGAAAGATAATTGCTATTTAATTGCTTAAGTATATTATATCGCAATAGCATTGCGTCAGTGCCTATACAGTTTACATATTATTAGTGTAGTAATATCTAAAAAAATTGAAAAACCTTTACGTTTTGAGTACCTAAATGTCTAAATCAAAGTAAAT